TTCTGGGGGGTGGGGGTGTAAAAACATAACAAATGATGAAATCTGAATTGGAATGGACAAGTAAAATTATGTTAACCTCTTCGCCTTTCCCACTCATACACTCTCACTCACTGACTCACTCATTCACTTACTGACAGTCACTCGCTGAATCACTCAGTCACTTACTCAGACACACACTCATACTGACTGCAAACAAAGACACGATCCTGTTCATATGCACAATCTTTTATTTAAATAAAATAATGGCAACATATATTATAGCATATATGACATACATCATAATCTCAAAACTATACAATGCACACACACAATTATAGTGACATATAGTTGAATCAGTCAATTTAATCGAACATAATTATATGTCACATAATAGAACGTTCGTTTTACAATTGTTGAGCAAATAGTAGGCGGACACAGGCAAATAAATTAGAATATCTCAAAGTCACATTTAGTATTTCTCGGCATTGATCCGTGTTCCTCAACCTTTCAGCACTCACGGCCCCCAAAACAGGGGACAAGTTTGGGCGGCAGACCTTACAGCTTACCTAGCACAGAACTTCTTGTCCAAAATAGAGGATTAGGCATCGCAACATGTTCAGCTTCTATGTCATTTTTGCTTCTCACAGTGCTTTGCTAATGCAGTTTCCACATATGTACGATTTCGCTGCCAGAGCTACTGAGTTTAGTGCTTGGTGCAGCCCTGTGAGCTTTCTTTTTTAAGTGTGGAATGCTTTTTTTTTTTTTTGAGCACAGTTGTGTCGTGGGATTCAAAACAGCCGGTAGTCGGTTTAGGTGTGAACTGGTGAAACACATTATGTAATAATGTTAAGTGTGTATAGCCATCTTATTGTGACGGAATATTACCTTCAACGACAAAACGCATTTCTGGTGGCGAATGTTGGTTTGGCGCCTCTAGCAACTACCTTTTGCATTTCCTGCTTGCGCATATTTCTGGACTGTGCCGGGACAATAGTTTGTTAAGCAGTTTCTTAAATGGGACAATAAGGAACATTTCATTTAATTGTCACTGGCATGTGAAGGTAGCAAGTATGGGGTGACCAGTTTGCCGGGAATGTTGAAACCTCAACTAAGATTGAGCACAGAAACAAAATGAAATGTAGACTGATGTTTATATGTTCAATCCGATTTCACACAAAACTAAAATGTTCAGCGGATTCAATCTCCTTTGATTCTCATCTTTGGGGTGTTAATCCTACAAACTGTAAGCCTGAAGGAGATTAACTACCCTACCCTACCCTGTTAAAAGCCGCCACGGTCTGGCGGCTAGACGCTCGCCTGTGGCTCGGAAGGTCATGGGTTCGAGTCCTGACAGAGCCGGAATTTTTTTCATATATGACTTTGGCTCCCAGGTCGACCCAGCCTTGGGTGGGTACCAGGTAAAGCCCTGGGAAGTAAAGGCAGCCGGTGTGATGCTGACTACATCATCCACCAAGTGTCGTTTGGTTTATGAAATATAGGTCAAACGCTAGATATCCAATTCGCCTGAAGGCGAGGAAAAGGGCCCTTTACTTTACCCTTTGTCCTCTTACATGATAAGGCAGACATTTGAGAAGGCCCACCTGGACTTTTCCGGCAACCTAGCTGTGCGCCTCGGCCCACCGGCTAAAGAACACAGCTATAGATCACGCATACTAACGAAATCATCATCATGATCCTTTGTGTGCCGCTAGAAGTCACATAGGGCTCGCATTCGATCCCTCCACTCTGCTCTATTACATGCCAGCTCTCTCGGTTTCTGAAATGGAGCTCAGCCCAGCCTTTTTAGACTCTAGTAATAATATTCTTTTTAATGTTTCCCTTCGACGTTCTATTTTCCTCAGACGGGAACCCCCCCCCCCTCCCCCCCCCCCCCCATGTCAGTGTTTGTTTGAGTAATTCCTTGCTCATTCGGTCTCAGAATGTGCCACCTTCTTTTCCTTATTGCAGTCGATACAAGTATTTGTACAGACATTTATCTGATCTCCTAATTCTTTGTGAATCATCCCATTTTATGTTCATAATATTTTTCAGATACTTATCTTCAAATGCATGTTATTACTAAAAAAAAAAGTCAATAAGAGAGAATTTCAAAAAAGCCTAATCGTGCTCATGTGTCCGTTGATGCCGGTCGTCATCATCATGTACCTTATCGAAAAGCGCAGGATGTCATGTTTGTTATCTCACACAATCAACAGAATCAAGGATCAGACAATGTGCTTGACTCGCTCCACTAATATGGCGAATATTCTTTTATTTTATTTCACCTTATCTCGAGGACTCTGATATTTCAAGGGAAGGTGCCAGGAAAGTTCAATAGTACAGGCGTATTAGGGTGTAAAATGAACACAGACTAACATTAACCCTGGCCCCCCTTTCCCCTCATCCTTTTTCTAATCAATTAACGGCTTTCATCTGTGTCATAGGGAACTGCCTCGTTTGTGTTTCTATTCTTCAATGATATACATTGATTTCAATGGCAAAGCTGATGTCGAATTCATCTGTTTTCTGAAATCTATCTCAATCTCAGGAGAGTTATGCAAGAAACCCGGTATGTTAGATTCTGTATGTCACTGGGTGACGACACTTGTTGTCTAGATCCAGTGATGTGTTGTGATGCTACACACACACACAAGCACACACACATATAAGGAAAATTTTGTAACAAATCCAGTATGTGAGATTCTGTATGAGAATCTATGTACTTATTTTTCTACTATTCCCCTCCCCCCCCCCCCCGCACCTCTCCCCAAATGGAGCATAGGCCCTCAATCAAACCATGTCGTTCTATCCTTTGCTGTCACGTGCAGCTTACCCAAAGTGGTCCCAGTCTTTTCACTTCATTCTCCTCTCTAGATCATTTCTGGTGTGTGTGGGGGGCGGGGTGTGTGTGTGTGTGTGTGTATGTGTGTGTGTGTGTGTGTGCGTGTGTGCGTGGGTGTGTGTGTGGTGTGTGTGTGTATGTGTTTTCTTTTCCTAGCAGGACAGGAGCTTCTCAGTTGGCAAGTAACACTACTAATGATTTGTTTGTGTCCTACACTCTTTTGGTGGTCTAGAATCTTCACAAAGAAACAGCCCAGCTATGTGTAGCTTTTTCTTGCTATGCGGCGTTGGTCATCAACCTTCTGCATTGTGCATCATCGATTTCTTCTAAAACATATTTTTTTTTATGCAGCAATTCTGAACTGTCCATCATCCCATCTCATTGTCTATTCCTGCTCGTGTTCCTTTCTTTGAGAAAATATCAAAAGTCGGATGTCGTCTGTGTGTGTGTGTATGTGTGTGTGTGTGTGTGTGTGTGTGTGTGTGTGTGTGTCTGTATGATCTAGAAGCTCCTTGACTGTATTCTACAAGAACTGGGTGACTACCACAATGACAAGCAATCCCGATCAGTCAGATTGAAGAATACTAGGTTAAAATACAGATGAATAATTATTTATGTGTAAACACATGTTCGCTGAGTTATGTTAGCAACACTCACATAATGTACACTGTATGGGCCTAATATCCACTGTATAGGCCAACCGTGAATGTTGAACGGTTCATGAGTCTACTAGAGATTAGTGAAACGTTACTTGGAAGCTGCGCAGACTTGGTTTTATAGACGAATGATGAGAATACCCTGGACAAATGAAAGGAGAGACAAGGATGTCTTGAAAGAAACTGACTCAAGAAGAGAACTGATTGTCCACATCAGAAAGAGACAGTCTGCATTGGTTATGGGAGAAGCACAACATTGGAGAATATCGTGACAGTAGGAAAGCTGGAGGGGAGGAGAGGCAAGGGGAGACCTAGAGAAAAGATACAGGACGGTTTGACGTCATGGCATGGAAGATCATCTATGTCAGAGTTAACTGAAAGTACACCAGACGGAAGGTTGTGGATAGGCAAGACTACCAAAGCCACACGGAGTTTAAGAAGAAAAGTCTACTTGAGATTATTATTTTGTGCACATTGTCCGTGAATCGTGCTTCCCATTCTTGAAACCTTCATTACATTTGATGACTGGATCTATGGAGCCTAGTGTGAGCAAACATTAGTCTGTATATATATATATATATATATATATATATATATATATATATATATATATATATATATATATATATATATATATATATTGGAGGGGGGGGGGGTGGCATTGTCTAAAGCAGTAGATACTTGTAGCACTGTCTGTACATTTCTGTGGCTCCATATGTTGTTATACGTCATACAATTTCCCCAATTCAGTCTGTGGAAGCAATGGGTACTCGACACTTGTATGGCTCAGTACTTCTGAGCATGTTATTCAAAAGTAAATGTCTTTGGTTGTGAGGGCTCCACGTTCATATGTAGACAGCGCAGTCTTTGAAAAATCAGAGCTGAACAACATTTAGCTTAGTCTTTCAGGGCGCGGATTGATACATCGTGTGTCTTATTTTGTGTTAGCATGGATAGAACATTATTAGGCTCACCCTGGGAGATCACCAACAGAACATTATTAAGCTCATTCTGAGAAAGTACGGAACATCGCTTTGACTAGTCTCTAAGAGCACACATCGGAGCTTCACTTAGCTCAGTCTGTTAGAACATCAAGTAGCTCAGGCTGTGAGAACACTGGTTGGAACATCATTTAGGTCAGCCTATGAAAACACACATCAGAACATCATTTAGTTCAGTCTGTGAGAGCACTGGCCGAACTATCATTTAGCTCGGCCTGTGAATGACTGTTTGGAACATCATTTAGCTCAGTCTGTAAGAGCACTAGTCAAAGCATCATTTAGGTCAGTCTATGAAAGCACAAATTGGAACATTATCTAACTCAGTCTGTGAGAGCACAGATTATTTCCTCATTTAACTTAGTCTTTGAGAGCTTTGTTGAAATGAATCAATGGCTCAGTCGGTGAGACTTAGTACTAAATACAACAGTCTGTAGCCCAGTTTTCGAAAGGTCTGTATCCAACAATTACACCGCTCACTTCACATGAAGTCTTTACTCAGATCACATATTTAGAGTTCATCCATTAATGAGAAATGGGGCTGTGTGAGAGCTCGGACGTCGACCCAGAAAAGTCCGAGCCCACGGAGCCAATCATGTCGTCAGAGTGTAGGTAACCATGATGGATCATCAGATCCCCGTGAACGGGACTCCGAGCCAGCCGAGACTGCAACATGACGTCTGCGTGATGGGGTGGGCTGTGAATGCCAGGGTCCATGTGGTCAAACGATGACATCTGCCAGAGGAGCAAATAAACAAGAAGTTAGTTTAGTGATACTGTAGTATAGCACATTGCTTTAATCTCATGTAAATCTCCGGGAGCCGCCATGGTGTAGTGGCTATGCGCTCGCGTGCAGATCTGAAGGTAGTGGGTTCGGGTCCTGATGGGGGCCAGATTTAGCTTTTTCTAATGACCTTGACTTTCAAGTTGTCCCAGCTTTCAATGGGTATCAAGTAAAGTTCTGGGAAGTAAAGGCGGTCGGTGTGATGTTGCTCACATCAACCATTGAGTGTCCATTGGTCTATAAAAGAGCACTATATGTCCAATAGGCCTGAAGGCGTTGACAAGGGTCCTTTGCTCTATTTTTACTACACACACACACACACACACACACACACACTCACACCTCCAGAATTACATTCTGTAGTGTTAACATCTCATGGAGGAAAATCAGATGGGTACAAATCGCAGCAAATCCACCCCGCCACCCACCCTAGTTGTATCAGTAAAGCAAAGGACCCTTCACGCCAGCGCTGCATTGGATGCTAAACTCATTGTTTTTACTTGGCCAATCGGCACTCGACTAGTGATTTGGTCAAGGTCACCTTGGCTGCCTTTACCATCCAGGACTTAACCCGTTGTCCATTTAAGGCTGGGTGGACCTGGGAGAGATGGTGACTATGGAAAGAGGGGGGGGGGGAGGATTTCGACTTGATGCAGATTCGAACCCACAACCTTTGGCTGGCAGTCAAGAGTCTAGCCGTTTCACGACTTCGGCTCTCCGCTCTATCTTAAAACAGTATAATAGGGTACCCGATATATCTAACATAGTAACCCGTAGTCTAACGTAAATGTGTTCAGTATTTTGTTTCTTTCACCTTAATAACATTAATCAGCAGTGGCTGAGTATCGGATAAGGGCAGTGGCTAAACTCTCACCTATAGATTCGAATATTTTGGGTTCGAATCCATGTCGAGACAATTTTTTTTTTTTTTAACTGACCAGAGACGACCTAGTCTAAAACAGGTACCATGAAATAACACGGAAAGTAAAGGGAAACAATCAGTGTGACACTGACAATTACAACCATCAAGTGCTGATGTGTCTATTTGAAAACGAATTTAGCATCCGATGCGCCACATGTGTGTGAAATGTCCTTTACTTCCCTTTCATAAGCAACTGTCTTTTTTTATTTATTTAATTTTTAATTTTTTTTTTTTTATTATTTCTATATTAGTTTTCGTCTGATTAATTTAGTCATTTAAAGGGTGCGTTAAGAGTAATTACAAGTTCAAGGGGGCGAAACAGGTAACAATTGTGACCATAAATGAGTGTTATATAGATTTACAATACGTAAACGTTTATGTTCCTCTCCTCCTGTCGTCATACACAGTTTCGTCCTTTTCAGGACGAAATTTTTTGTTATTTGAAGCCCCACCCTGGCTTTTGCCAGGGGCCGCAATATAGGCAGGCCATAAATATGGCCAATTGTCTGAACGCGGTTTCTGGGACCTCTCCATGGCGATCCTCATCCGCATGGTGGCACTTTGTGTCATCGGGTGTTTATCGCTTGTGTGATGTCCTGGTGGGGTAGAAAGTCAGTCAGTCCTCTCCTCCTTTAGCGAGGGGTAGGAGGAGGCAGTGGCTAGCTGAGTGGTTTCTCTTTTTTAATTTTAATATCATGATGGGTCAAGTAGAAAGCAACTAATGTCACTGGTGGCACAGGATTAAAACAAAAAAGTGAAACATCACCCACACACAAAAAAATAAACACACACACACACAAAATGTGTGATGTACGCTTTAAAACATTACAAATGATGTTTGGAAATTAACTCGAAACAAAGTATATTCGATGATTTGTACTGTTATTATTAGTATCTTCTTCTTCTTCTTCTTCTTCTTCTTCTTCTTCTTCTTCTTCTTCTTCTTCTTCTTCCTCCTCTTCTTCTTCTTCTTCTTCTTCTTCTTCTTCCTCCTCCTCCTTCTCCTCTTTGTCCTCCTCAGCTCCCCCTCCAACTACTGTATGTCTGTACTGTAATCTACCCCTTCATGCCTTCAACAAAGTACTTATGTTATGAGTTTCAGATTAAACACTACTAAAAATATAACTTTAGTAAATAGCAGAAACGACATTATCAACGTAGATACAGATACAGATTCAGATGAAGATTCAGATAAGATCGGCGACAATACCCTCCCCCCCACCCCCTCCCCTTCCCCTTTTTTAAAATGGACTTGAGCTCGGTACAAAGGAAAAGAGGAGACGATGTTTTCGAAGAAAGATTCAGATAAAATCAATTGACATGACTTACGGGCATCAAATACTGAAACAATAATTCCAGAAAGTCTGATCCTCAGGAAAAGAGGGACTTTATCAAAGGGTCAACTAAGTGACCAAAAGACACGTGATGTTTGACATATAATTATTATTTTCACGTTGCATGCTTGCGCCTGTTACATTTTTCGGGCAGCTTGAGAAAAGCTGTTGAGTCTGTCTGTTATCATTTACACTAAAAAAAGACCTTTAGTATGTGTGTGTGTGTGTGTGTGTGTGTGTGTGTTAATGACACGATGTCGAGCAGCGCAATTGTTGCTGCTTCTGCTACTACTATCAGTGCTAATAAACTACTTTCCTAACGATACTATAATTCTACTGTCACTACTGATATCCCTACTGCTAACATTATTACTACTAATACTATCACTGCCACAACTACTAATGATGGTGCTAGTGTTACTGCTGCTGCTGCTGCAATTACTACTATTACCACACTGCAGCCTAAGCAACTGCTACTATTTCCGGTATTTTTAATATCCTACCCCTGATGATGTCACGGGACAGTCCAACATTTTAGAGGGTGGTAAGACTGGGTTTCCAGTCTTTCTGATGCCTTTAACGACACCAAAACATCTAGAACTGACTCTAACCACAACCCAGCTACGTCCCACCAGAGAGTGCAGCCTAGGTTGCACGACTCCATGGAGCCTAAGTCCCACGACAGTATGCAGTCTATCTATCACCCCCTGACTGTCCCGTAACCTGTGGATTTCCCCTGTTTGAGGTAGGATCATAATAAAGCACCCTAATGCCATTACTATTGCTACTGTTACCTCGCCAACTGCTGCTCCTATAAATACTGCTACTATCGTTAGCATTGTTACTGTTAAAAATTATAATAGACATAAACAGGAATTCATTTTGTGGAAGCTGTCCAAACATCACAGATTCCACGCTGTAACATTTAAACTAGCAAACGATGATGTAGATTAGCGCAGCACATTGCATAACTGGTCAATGACTATTAAAATTAAAAAAACTTTGTAATAGAGATTCATGGATAAGAAGAACACGGCACTTTTATCAATTAATATTAGTACAAATCATATATATATATATATTTTTAAGCTGGGCTAAAATAAATAACGAAATTAATATTAACACTGTTCCGTGACAAACAACAACAAAAATAATAAATACATGGAAAATAAGGAATAAAAAATAAATTGTTGACATAAATTCGCCAGAAAATACTTGGTAAATGTCCCTCACTTTTTGTCTCTAACAAAGAATCACTGATCCTCGAGATAAACCACCGTATCGTCTTCCTCATCGATCATCATCTTGGAGCTAGCATCATCATCGTCATCATCGTCGTCCATATCGTTCAGCGAGCTCGGATGCTGCTGATGATGATGTTTGGCCTGCAGGCGCTCGTACAGCGGGCCGTGCGGACCGAATCCGCCGAAGACAAGTTTGCTGTCGCCGTTGAAATGCCCGAACTCCGCTAAATGGTGGTGGTAGTTGTGCTGATGCTGCTGCAAAAATGTGTTGTTATTGTTGTTGTTAGTCATGAGGTTGATGTTGCTCACCAGTTGCTGAAAGGGTGCGTGAGGCTGGTCCATATCCCCTTGCATGGCGAACTCCGACAGAGCTTTCCACGGCGTCTGGTAGCTCTGCACCTCCACTGGGTTTCCCTGCATGCCCAAGGGCGGCTCGTGGCGAACAGGACTGGAGGCTACCATGGGAACCCCCTGCAGCGGCCGGCTCAATCCGCCTCCGTTCTGTAGACAAAGGCATAAGAATGTCTGAATGAACACATCACTTCCACGAAGCACACATTATCACAATCATCCTGCACACACGCAATAATAAACAACACAATATTTGAAAGAATTGTTTTCACACAGTGACCTGATCCATGATTTTGGTGAACTTGTGGCGTGAGTTAACATGCTTATTAGCACGGCACAGGGTGATGATGATTTACAGCGGTCTTTCCCATATGGCGGTCCACGTTATTGACACTCACAAAAAGACATCAATTTTTAGAATGCAGTTCTTTTTACGATTCCAACATTTATCAATCAAATTACTTCTTCAGTACGACTTGAGGGATCCATATATCATTTGGAATCTCACCCCCCCCCCCTTTTTTTTTTAATGTGTTATCAACTTTGTCTTTGTTGCACAGTTTTTGATATTCCAGTACAGCCAAATCTGACCAGGAAAGCTTCCGATGGCCAGTTGAGCCATAGGCATACATACATTCATGCATAAATACATACATAAATACATACATAAAAAACATACATTCATACATTCATACATTAACACACGCACGCACGCACGCGCGCACACGCACGCACACGCACGCACACACGCACACACACACATACATACATACACACATACATACATCCATACACACAAACATACACACAAGCATACACACAAACATACACACATACATACATACACACAAACATACACACAAACATACACGCATACACACACACACACACACAAACATACACATACATACACACAGACATGCATACAGACAGACAGACAGACAGACAGACAGACAGACAGACAGACAGACAGACAGACAGACAGACAGACAGACAGACAGACAGACAGACAGACAGACAGACAGACAGACACACAGACAGACATGTATAAAACCTAAACTACAACAAAGAAGACACCGCCAAATCTAATCAGGCAACGGGAAGTCACGTGACTCTGGAGGTGTTAGTCTTCTTGCTCCAAAATGAAATAATTCAGCAGACAGACAAGTTAGTTCTGATTTTAAACCTCGAAAACTGTCACCACTGTCTCTACTGACCCTGTTTTTTAGGGCGGCGTTGCGCCTCTGATAGGTGCCCTATGTATTTTTACTTTAGGAGTGCAAGCTCCAGGAATTTGCTGTAAATTATAAGTTGTTGCTGGTTGTCATATAAGACAGTCACGGACATTTTGTAGGATTGTCATATGAGACAGTCAAGGACATTTGTATGATTGTCATTTGAGACAGTCACGGACATTTGTATGATTGTCATATGAGACAGTCACGGACATTTGTATGATTGTCATATGAGACAGTCACGGACATTTGTATGATTGTCATATGAGACAGTTAAGGACATTTTGTAGGATTGTCATATGAGACAGTCACGGACATTTTGTGTGATTGTCATATGAGACAGTCAAGGACATTGTGTATGATTGTCATATGAGACAGTCAAGGACATTTTGTAGGATAGTCATATGAGACAGTCACGGACATTTTGTATGATTGTCACGGACACAGGAACGGAGCAGTTATGAGGTGACGCGTCTGCAGCTGTGTTGAAACCAAGACTGACTGACTAATCAAGCAACTAATTAATTAAAGAGGTGTAACAAGGTGTCCCAGAGCCTGAGACTTAAGGCCGCAAGTGAAAGTGTGGTCACCTCACCCCTACCTCTGAGGCTTTATCCCCCCCCCCCTCTCGTTTTTCGGTAGAAAAACATACTGCACCTAAATTTGTGAAAATCCCAGTTCATGTGTCTTCAGTGACAGCCTATGCGTTCTAACCTTTCGGCCACCCGCTCGTTTCAACCTGTAACGTGCATACACGCCAAGCCACAACGTGAAAGAGATTCTTGAACATCTTAGTTCGGTGCTGCTATTACGGCATTCGATGGCTAACACTGTGCTATAAAACAAGCCTGGGTTATTTCTTAAAGACGTTTAATCCGTTAAAACGCCCGTGTCCCTCGGTGATTATAACCTAAATTCCTCGTTTTTCGATCGTTTTGTGAAGGAACTGTCTTTGTCAATTCCAGCACGTGGTTCTGTAAGGCAGGAAATTGAAAACCAGCTTTCCGTGGCTCAATACAGATCACACATCCGCGCTGGGTAAAAATAATTCATTACTAAATATCCTTTCTTTATCTTCACCGCCGCGTACATAAGCGTGCGGACACATGCGCGCGCACGCATACGCAAACGCGCACGCACAGGTTTTATTTTATATTTTAATCTCTTAGACACGGGAAGCTTAAAGGAGAAAATCGAAGGGAGTACGAGAATTAAAATGCCAGCACTAATTCCTTTATTCTACCCTGTTGTTTTTCTTATTACTGGTGTAAGCTTTGAGGAAGCGGCGGTACTGAGAGAATGAAGAGCAGCAGCAGCAGACAGCAGCAGACAGCAGCAGCAGAAGAAGAAGAAGAAGAAGAAGAAGACGAAGAAGAAGAAGAAGAAGAAGAAGAAGAAGAAGAAGAAGAAGAAGAAGAAGAAGAAGAAGAAGAAGAAGAAGAAGAAGAAGAAGAAGAAGAAGAAGAAGAAGAAGAAGAAGAAGAAGAAGAAGAAGAAGAAGAAGAAGAAGAAGAAGAAGAAGAAGAAGAAGAAGAAGAAGAAGAAGAAAAAGAAGAAGAGACGAATCAGGATGAAGAGGAGGAGTGGAAAAGGTGGTAGAAAGAAAGAAAGAAAGAAAGAAAGAAAGAAAGAAAGAAAGAAAGAAAGAAAGAAAGAAAGAAAGAAAGAAAGAAAGAAAGAAAGAAAGAAAGAAAGAAAGAAAGAAAGAAAGGAAGGAAGAAAGAAAGGAAAAGAAAGAAGAAAAGAAAGAAGAAAGAAAGAAAGAAAGAAAGAAAGAAAGAAAGAAAGAAAGAAAGAAAGAAAGAAAGAAAGAAAGAAAGAAAGAAAGAAAGAAAGAAAAGAAATAAAGATGGTGGGGGTGGTGGTGATGATGATGATAATCATGATGATGATGATGATGATGATGATCATGATGATGATATTGAAACTCGAAACTAGGTCAACATGGCGGGGTTGCATAATCTCCAATAACTAGCTTCAAATGGAAATAGATGGCAACATAATCTTTAGGTAACACGGACGCCGTTGCCGATCGATTGATGCCAGTAATAAGACCCAATGGTTAACTTCCCGAATCGCTCTGCTGTGAAGTGCGGTCCTTTCAGGCATTTATAACAATTTATTACCTGTTTCCTCCGAGCCTTTGTCCCGTCGCTGGCAGAGTTTTGTTTCCACGGAGGCGATAAATCGTTGCACAGGCGTTGTGGTGATGGTTCAATACAATCACAAACAAATAGACCAACTAGGCTAGCACGTATAGAAACAATGGTATAGTAAACACTAACATATCAGCAGTGTATGCTGACCCGCCTTCTGCTGGTATTTACGGGATGGGGTCTGCAGGTCCCGTCCATGGGTCTTTGCATCCAGGCGTTTATTCAGCTGATTGTCTGTTTGGTTTCTTGTTGGGGCCGTTTGTGGAATCGCGCATGCGGGCAGTTGTGCATTATTGTGTCGATCTGTTTGTCACCCTGTTTGTCTGTTCATCCGTCTGTGTATCTATCCGTTTGCGAACTGGTCAAGCCTTTTGCCTCACGCTCTGAAGGTCGTGAGTTCGTTTCACGACTGCGTTTCACGAGTGAAATGTTTACAGAGATTTCTGGGGATGGTCACCAGAGTTACGGAGTTCGTTATCTGCGCGGCGCTCTTGGCAGGCGGTTAGCCGTTCTGCGGAGAGAGACCAAACGAAGTCGATCCTCTTCACTTTAACTTTTATCTATCCATATGTATATCTGTAGGTATGTCTTTCGATCTGTCTCCCCGCACTTTTACCCATTTATACATCTATACATTCTTTCATCACTATATCTACTGGCCAACATTATTCATCGCTAGACAGATATTACGTCACTGTCTGTCTAACTCAGTTTTTCCAACTGTCTATCTGTCTGTCTATTTTCTATCGATATGTCTCTCCACACGTCTATGCATTTATATATATCTATGCAGCCATCCCCTGCCCAACTTTCATCAGTTTGTTTTACCTTTTCCGGTTGCTAGATAGATCTGTATATTTCAGTTTGCCAAACTCAGTTTTTCGATTTCTCTATAAGTCTGTTTGTCTGTCTATACTTCTTTCCATACATCTTTGTCTTCATTAATTTATCTATCCCCTGGTAAGCGTTAATAAATTTATTTCATCTTTTCTAAGTCAGTTGATAGATGTGTCCCTACCGTCTAAATAACTCGATCTGTCTGTCTGTCTGTCTGTCTGTCTAGTCTGTTCTTTACGCCCAGATTTCTTGTCTCTGCGTCTGAACCACGAACATGAAAATATTGACCCAGAGAAGCGCACAGTATCGGCGCAGACAGAAATTCCGTAGACAGCGGCTGGCGACAGGGACTAATCGTGCGAGTCTTGGGGCAGGATCGCAATACCTTCACAGCCCGGATACCGTTGGTCTGCGTTGGGATTCAGCTGTCGACAAACAAGGGCAGCACAACTTTGCACAAGAGCTTAAGCCAGCCATTGTAGATCATGTTCTTCCGCCTAGGGGTAGATTTCCAGCCGTCCCTGCCGCTGCCAGTGTTCGACTTGTCCACCCTGCCCTCACTCCCTTCCAGCCACAGCATGTTTATGATTTCAAATGTCTAGTCTTGTGTGCTTATCTTTCCAAACTTGCATCGTTATAATATGTTAAAATTCTTTATTCCGCCAGAAATATCCGTAAGTGTGGAGAAAGGCATAATTTAGCAGCCTCGGATGGCTGGTTAAAATATGCACGGACATACGCAGAGAGAAAGAGAAAGAGAGAGAAAGAAAAAGAGAGAGAGAAAGAGCGAGACAGAGAGGAAGAGAAAGAGAAAGAAAGAAAGAGAGAGAAAATCCATACTTCTATAGAACTGCAGGTTACACTAGGCTGGTTTAGCTGATACGTGTGGCTCCATTATAGGTTGTTTAGGTTGAACGCTGGC